GGTATACATATACATATTTTTTCTTCCTCTTCCAATACAAAAGGCAGCATATTTATATCCACTGTTCTTCACTTTGATTTTCTCAACAAAACAGAGGGAATCTTCCTTAGAGTTCCCCCTTTTCTAATTTTTTTTAAGATTTTATTTATTTATTTGTTTTTAAGTAATCTCTACACCCAGCGTAGGGCTTGAAGTCACAACCCCGATATCAAGAGTCACATCTTCTACATACTAATCCAGCCAGGCATCTGATTCTAGTTTTTTTAACAGCTGCAAAATATCCTGTGGATATAGAAATTAGTTCATTAGGTTCTCTAATGATGGACTCTTATGTTATTTACAATATTGTGATATAATAAACAGTTCCACATGAATAATCTTTAGATATTTAGAGGGTGTGTCTGTGAAGTAGAGTCTAGACATGGGATTGCTATATCAAAGTTTAAATGTGTTGCAGGTAGATAGTACTATCTAAGTACTTATCCCAGAAACTCCACTGGGATAGTACTATTTTGCACAACCCAGTTCTTGGTGAGATTGTGCTGTTAAACTTTTGGATTTTTGCCAGTCTTATTGGTGAGAAATGTTATCTCAGTGTAGAGTTTTGTTTTATTTTGTTTTTTAATACACGAGTGAGGTAGAGCATATTTTTATGTCTTTAAGGGTTGTTTGTATTCCCCTTTCTTTTGGATGTTGATTCTTGTCCTTTTCTTTTACCTCAGTCAGTCTTTCTTTTCAACATAGAAGCTCTTTATAAATTAGGGAGGTAAATCCTTTGTCTACAATGAATTGCAGATATTTACTCCCAGTGTGTCATTTGACCTGCTTATGAAATTTTCTGCCATGTGGAGCCTTTTGATTTTTGAATAATTGAATTTTATGTATTTATTTGTGTGTTTGTTTATTTTTAGTATAACTGGATTTTGAATCATAGATAATAGGCTCTCCCTAGTCAAGTCTTATAAAAGAATTCATTCATTTTTTTTTGAATACTAGTATGATTATTTTTCACGTTTAGATTTTTATTCATTTGGGGTTTATCCTGGTGTATGGTGTGAGGTATGGGGTCAACTTTATCTTTTACCAGATGGCTATCCAGTTTTCCAGATATCATTTATTATAAAGTCCATTTTCTCTACTGTAAATTGATGATATGCTTTTACTTTAGCTGTTGCAAATGTAATATGACCATAGGTATAAGACCCTGGTCATTCTAATTGTCAGTTAACCTGAGAGAGAACAATAGGGCAGGAAGGAGGGAAGCTTCCTTCTAAATAATAATAGCTACTAAATCCTTTATGTGTATTTTTGTGTGTAATCATCACAACACTATGAGGAAGATGTTTTTATTTTCATCTCAGATATGGAAACAGGAACAGAGAAACCAAATAATTTATCCTTCACTTAGTAGTGGAGTCAGGATTTAAGTCCAAAGAGTGTGATTCCGTAGGCCTGTGCTGTTTAACACATTTAACCCTACAACACTGTCCCATCTCTGATCTTAGTGGAGGCAGTACAGAGGCTCCAGTTTCTCCCCCTTTCAAATTCATTGCTAATGCTGCTGTAGCAGCAATGGCTACGGAGATAGAACCTAAACAAAAGAAAGGTGTTTGGGGTCCAGCCTTACAAGAGAGCTGCAAGAAAAGTTAAGATTTGTTTGGCCATTTGGGTTTGGCAGGTGTACAGAAAATAGTTAATGTAGCAGGCTAGAGACTGCTATCCTTAGGAAGGCTGTTTGTAAGGTTGGCCCTTGGCTAGAATCCTGGCTGGTGAACAGTTCCCTACATTGATATGACTTGTCCTTAAATGATAAGAGTGTCTTATTGTTCCTAGCGTGTTTGTGTAAATGATATGGTTTATACTTTGGGAGTCTGGAATTTTGGTACATGCTAGGCATAGGGTATCTGTGTGACCAGCTCCCAGTAAAAACCCTGGGCAGTGAATCTCTAATGACCTTCCCTGGTAGATAACATACATGTATGTTAGTTATCACAATTCATTGCTGGAGGAATTAAGTGTGTGTGGCTCTACTGGGAGAGAACTCTTGGAAGCTTGCACTTGGTGTCCCCAGATTTTGCCCCATACACCTTTCTCTTTTGCTTGCTTTTGCCTTGTATCCTTCCATTGTAATGAGTCTTAGCTGTGAACACAACTTATGCCAACTCCTTTGAGTCCTTTTAAAGAATTATTGAACCTAGAGTTGGTCTTGAGGCTAATTCTAGACATCGACATTAAAATGTTTGTTGTGATTTGGGCAGTAGGGGTATGTGTGTATATGTGAGGGTGGGAATTGGAGAGAGGGAGAAAATAAATGAATTTATATGGAATTTGAGATTTTTATAACTTTGGGAGGTTAGCAGCTGAGACTAACATCAGAGGAGAGTTTCCTTCTTTACGTGCAGAAGGAATACTGGCAGATTAACAGTGGTTTGTGCTCAGTCACTACTGCAGACAGGAACTTTATTCAGCAGCTGTATTGCTAGTGATGACATTTGGAGCAACAGCATCAACAGCTATGGAGCAGTGTAGTAGTTGCAGAGAGTCAGCCTTTTAGACTGAGCTAGCACTCCTCAGATTTTAGGATTTGTTATTTAAGAGAGGACTTCTGCTTACGAAAATAAGACATTTTCTTGAGAAGTTGTATGACAGTTGTGGGTGAAAGAAGAAAGAGCCAAATCCATAATCCTAGGTTTTAACATCTCTCTCAATCATTCCTAGAATAAGTAGACATAACATCAGTATTCTATTTACAAGTACTGCTTATGCCCTTCTCCCCCCAGATTAAAAAAAAATGCATTTTATTCCTATCTTGCTAGGTATCAGTATACAGAAGTCCTTTATGAAAAAGAACTTTGCGTATTTATTGTAACATTAGACCAATTTTACAGAAGAGGGTACCAAACCTGTGATGTTACTGTAACATAATACCTTAGATCAAACGGGCAATAAGTGACAGGGGCTGGATTCAAACAAAGGTTTGTTGGCAAAGCACATGCTCTGTTTTTTATACCATGGTGCCTGTATTGGCTTTAGGGAAATTAATATTCCATATAGCATTTGGTTAATAAGCAGCACTATTTTTGGAAATTGGTTTGTTCTAGAACAAATAAATAGTATACTGTTTTATTAGAATTAGGGATGGAAGCATAGTTTCTAGTCTGCTTAAGTAGTAAGGTATATTTGTAATTTCACTAATATCAAAAGGAGGTTGGAATACTGTCCATTTTTGTGATGCTTTGGGATTCCATATGTTAGGGCTCATTACCATTCACTCTGATTTCTTAATGTTCTTTAAAGAAACATGAACTAGCTTAAGTCCATATAATGTGGCTCTTAAAAAATTCATAGCTACTTATAGGTCACTAAATGATGCAAAAAGAAATTTTATTTTTTGTTTTTTAAAATAAATTTTAAGAAATATAAAATTAAATGTTTTATTAACATTTTTGAGATGGTAGTATGGTAATGTTCAGTAGTAGAATTGGCCAAAAATCCTCATGAAGTGTATTTGATTGAAAGATCCAGTATGGAGCTTGAGACACATGGTAGCAAAATTTTATTTATTTATTTATTTATTTTTAAGATTTTATTTATTTGAGAGAGAGAGAGAAAACACGAGTTGGAGGGAGGGGCAGAGGGAGAGGGAGAAGCAGATGCCCTGCTGAGCAGGGAGCCTGCCATGGAGCTCAATCCCAGGACCCCAAGATCATGACCTGAGCCTAAAGCAGACAGTTAACCAACTGAGCCACCCAGGTGCCCCAGCAAAATTTTTAAAGTTCATTATTTTTCAAAATGAAAATAACCCCTTTCTCTCTAATTAATATTTACACATGACAAGTAGATAAGCCAGATATAATAATCCCTACTAACATTTAGGTGAATTTGCTTTTCTCAACACAGTAGCCAGAGTGATCCTTTAAAAAGTAAATTGGATCATGTTACTCCTCTGTTCAAAACTCTGTGTCCCTCATTTCACACAGTAACATTTTTTAGAATGGCCTTCAATGCTACACATGCTATTACACACCCTCCAATGTCTTTATTTCTCTTTACCCCTTGCTCACTCCCAGTAACAGTTGCCTTCTCAGTTTTCTGGAACATGCAGGGCATTCTATACCAGTTTCCTCTGCTTACAACAGTCTTCTCTCAGCTACCTACATAGCTTACTCCTTACCTCCTTTAAGATTTTGCTTAAGTGTCACTTTCTTTTAAGTCTTTACTTCACTGCCTGTTTAAAATTGTAATTCTCCTCCTCATCTTTGGCTGCTGCTTTCCTTTTAAAAAAGCACTTATTTATTTAAAAACTTTGTTTGTTTGTTTATGTGAGAAGGAGACCTAGAGAGTGAGAGAGAACACGAGTGGGGTGAGGGACAGAGGGAGAAGCAGACTCCCCGCTGAGCAGGGAACCCAATGTGGGCTCGATCCCGGGACTCCAGGATAATGACCTGAGCCAAAGGCAGACGCCCAACTGACTGAGCCACCCAGGTGCCCCAGAAAGCACTTATGACTTCAAAACATATTATATAATTTAAAATTTTTGATTATTATCTGTTTCCTTCTGCAATATTGTAAGCTTCGTACATTAAGGGCAGGGTTTTTTGTCATTCACTGGGATTTTCCCCAGTGGTAAAAGACGTGGCTCTCATAGTTGGGTGCTCAGTAAGTATTTGTTGGATTTGTTGAATGAAGGAATGTTATTGCTAAGGCAATTATACATGTTGAATTCAATATGTATGGACTGTGCTGTATAGTAGGAACTAAATATTCAAATAAATGGCATTTTGGTTGCATGTCATGAATTAGAAGGCCTTTGGAGGAATAATTTAGTCATTTAAAAAGTTAATATTTTTTTGCTCAGATGCCCATATAAAATGAAGGCATTCAGGATCATTTTATTGAAACTGGTTCATCAATGGGATTTTGAACGTTGCCACAGCTGCATGTTTGAAGAATTTGCCCCATCGTTGCCTTTTTATTCTCACTGTCCTAAAATCTCAAGAATGGCAGCTTTGGAAAAGAAAATATTACAAGTGAACAATGTGGTAACTGTTTTGGGGGTGGGGGTGGTAATTGTTTTTTAAGAAATGTGTTTAGGCACAGTCACACATTTTGTAGATAAAGAGTGTTGATGGGGCCACAGTGTTTGTGGGAATATGATCTCCAAGTCATTTTTAGGGGTAGAGTTACCAATAATAGCTAGTGCCTTTGGGTTTGGATGTGCTTTGAGTTACAGGAGGCTGTGAAAGGGTGAATGTTAACAAAAGGCTGAATTAAAAAAAAATACTTGGACTTACTGCCTCACAGTTAATCTGAAAGCCTCACTGAATATTCAGTTTATTCCCTTCTCTATATAATTTTTATTCATTTCTTAAGAAAAAAGTTTTGAACATAGATGCATTTTATAGTAGGTTCTGTGGAGGAGGATATAAAGGTGATTAATCAGGAGACCATAATCAACAAGTGGACATAGTATGGTGAGACTTTACATAATATCACTTTTATTTCTATTTATGGAAAAACATAGTTAACAGGGCAGGATTAACATGTGTTTTCTTTTCTGGAACCAGTGTTCACAAAGCCTCACTAAGACTGTCTGCTAGAAATTTAATAGAGGGGGCTACCTTGGCTTTACGGTAGAACTTGGATATTAATTTCAGTATTTAAGATTATTTTTCTTAAAAAGAAGTACTAGGATCATAGACAATTCTGAGGTAGTTTTGATAGCCTCTCTTTTATGGTCATAGCGTCTTAATAGGCTAAAACAAATGATATCTTGAATATCATATGAATTTTAGGTATGATCTGAAATTTAACTGTGAGTTAATGGTTTATTTTCAGAATCTTCCTTACATGTTACTTTAGTGGCTGTTTCTCAGTTGTGTGGATTGCCTTCTATCATATTAATAATATCTCTTTAATGCTAACTAAAACCACTTCCCATCAAATTTGATAATGAAACACTTTATTTGTGCTGCTTAATTACAATATTCCTTTGCTTTGTTGTCCTGTGTATTTCATTATTCTTTAACAGGAGGGAACTTCAGTAATTGATACTTGAGGCAGTGAAGCTGATAGGTGTGTTGACTTAGCCAGAGAGCCAACAAGCCCACAGGGCAACTGCTGCGCTTATGTAAATTTACTGTGTGTTTCTAAGGAGACTGTTGATCCAGTGTTTTCATACAGCCCACTTCCGAGATGTCTTCATTATTTGGCTTGTTAAAGCCTTTTTGTATAATGTTAATTTGTTTATCTGTAGCATAGGGGTCTTCATCCTGTTTATTTTCCACCCATCTCTTAAACCATAATCTCTCATAGTAGTCAGCCCTTATGAGAGATACTCAATTTACCTTCCTTAGTATAGTGGAAAATTGCTTTTCAGACACTTAGAATATAAATATTAAGTATAATTTTCAGAAATTTTTTTTGACCTGAAGTAGTTTATAATTATAGGCAGTGATGTGTTTTCAGGAGAAAGAATTTATGTCTAGGAAAGAAAAGTTGTTTTGTAAAAGAAGGGAATGTTTAAAGTAATACAGAACTAATTGAGTTTTTCTCATCTTTTACAGAGCTTTACAAAGTAATAATGACTTTTGGGATTTGAGCTTTGTAATATTAAACAAACCTTTGTTTTCTATAATTTGAAAATGAATTCTTGGGGGGGGAAGCTTAGCCAGTAAATTTTGATTATCAGAATACTTTTTCTATGACCTCATTTTCAAATGTAAGCTCCTTTTGCTCTCCTTGTCTGTTGTTTATCAATCCTGAAATTATTAGGGTCAAAATAAAATATAATTATTTGAGAGATGTGTGGTTTATTCTATCTGATGAATAGTCAGCCCTTTTTCTGATATAAAACAGGATTTCCAGGTATGAAGCTTTAGGATCAAATCTTTTTTCTTGTGTATTCAGTGTAAAAATAAAAATACCCATTCCAACACTTCACTTGATACGATAGTGTTTGCTTTACTTATGTGTAATTTTAGGTATATTATTTTTTGAAAGCTTCTCCTGTTGCTCTTTAAAGATCTAGTAGAATTATCAGACTTAAATGTTTTTATTTTGAAGACTCTGCAGTGTTCATCATTTTTTTATTATGACAGTTTATATTTTGTGTGGAAGCATTGAGTGTGACGGTTAAGATGTTATATTAATTTATTTAAGATGTCATATAAATTTAATTATTCTGGTTTTTCTATACTTGAATATTTGATCACATTTTTAGGCTAAATTTTTTTTTCTATAGTTAGAAGTCCAAATGGTAATTCAGAGATTAAGAATAAAGTTTTAAAAAATCTGTTAAGTGGGGGCGCCTGGGTGGCTCAGTTGGTTAAGCGACTGCCTTCGGCTCAGGTCATGATCCTGGAGTCCTGGGATCGAGTCCCATGTCGGGCTCCCTGCTCAGCAGGGAGTCTGTTTCTCCCTCTGACCCTCTTCCCTCTCATGCTCTCTATCTCTCATTCT